CAGGGCTGGGATCAGGGAAGGACAACGCTGGGATCCGCCCCGGCTCTCTGGAAGCCGAGCAGCCTGAGCCGGGCAGCCCAGATTTACTGACCGGATGTTGAGGCAGGACAGCATGGCCGTGGTGCCCCCGCCGAACACCCAGACGGTGAAGAAGACGATGAGCAGGGTGGTGCTGAACATCATCTGCCGCGCGTAGGTGGCCGTGTCCCGGATGGCCAGCGCGAAGGCCATGGCTCCGCGCAGCCCTGCGGGGACGGAGAGCACGGCAGCTGTGGCAGCCCCAGCACAGGACGTCTCCCCACCTGGGGTTTTCATCCTGCTGCCCCTCTGCTGGGACATCCATCCACCCCCACGGGAGAACAGTGGTGGCTTTGTCACCCCTCTTTCTTGAGCCCAGAAAGGCAAACCCTCCTCCTGCCCCGTGCCACCTACTTGAAGCAGGACCACTGAGTCCCTTCCTGCCCAGCCTCCCCTCCAGACATTGCCCAGAAGAGATTTAGAGTTGAATAAGGAATATTTCCAGGTTCTCAGAGGCAAGGAAGTGCCAACGGGCCACATGGTCAGAAGGATGCAGCAACCTACCAGCAAACATCATCATGTGCTGCAGATTCGTGCCAATCTTATTTCTTCTCCCCAGATTCAGTAAAAATGACAATGGGTAAATATTGGCAGCTCTCCCTAGGAAGATAGCAAGCTGTATTTGCACATGTTAAGGAAATTGCTCTTTCTGTGTCTCCCATCACATCCCACCTGCACACAGGGCCAGTTTCTACTGTCCAAAGGAAACTGGGAGCTGCAGAAATGCCAGTGCTCTGGCTGCAAAGAAAACAATCCAGCCCTGAGTGCTACAGCACTGTGGGAGGAGCAGGCTACTGCCTCGCTGAAACACAGCACACACTGCAACTCAGGAATATCACACAGAGACGAGCTCAAGTAAACACAGGTAATGATGAAAGGAAGTGAGAGGAGAGAAAAAACACCATTTCCCACAGTATGCTCTCTGCTGCCAGGTCCATTTTGCACCCCAAGAATTATTTGTCTTCTGTGAAGCTCAAGTTATCACAGCTATGACAACCCCTCTGACATTCCCCAGCATGCCACACTTCACAGCTGGGTCTGAAGCTTTAAGCCAAGTCTCATTCCCAAAGATTATTCAGCAAAATGAAAGCAGCAGCAGTTGAGAAGGAAAAAAAAAAAAAATCTAATTCTCTTTCTGTTTTCATAGCCTGCGAGATACAAGAATCACCAGCCCCTTCCTATTGCTTTTTATCTTTGAAGCTGTATCTTTTAATACCAGCACCCAGATGGCAAAAATAATCTTGGAGCCAGTATTCAGCACAGCCTTGAATAATATGGAAAATGCTTCTAGCTTTTATGTTCTTTCCTGAACATCACAATTTGCATAAGAGATGTATTTCATGATCTCTCTCATGAATGAGCTATTTCATCAGCGAGTTAGCCAGTTCCCACTGAAGAGGACCTGCACAAAATTTCAATATAACAGCCCAAATAGCATTTCTCTGCTCTCCATCCCTTCTGCCCCACACAACCCCATAAAAGCTGATCGGGAAAATTCAGCTGAGGCTGCTGCAAAACCATGGACCAGCCCTGGCAAAAATGTTTTGTTTACCAGTATAAACTTGCATTAGTACTGACAAAGGGTGAAAATAATTCTGCACATTAAACTGGCTTCTTTGTGATGTGAAAAAAATTCCTTAAAAATTCTTGTTTCTCTGAGACATACCAGGGCCCTTGTTCCCATTAGCATCAGCCTGCAGAACAGGAAATCCTTTCTCATTACATCATTCAGAGGCATCTACTGTAGCTGTAACTGTGCTGTTTGACCAAAAAAAGGCTTTTTTTTCAGGGTAAACCAAGTGCACTAGCAGAGAAAAGAGGAAATAAATGGCTAAACCAGGCAGCCCCCCTTTGCAAAGCCCCTCCTGGTGCCACATGACAAAGCCTGGCATTGGCATCACAGTCACACTGAATGATGAGTCCCTGCAGCAGCTGATTCAGATGCCCACAAGAGCAAAGAACACAGGGAGAGAAAAAAAAATAAACAACATAAAACCAGAAAAGCTGAAAAAAGAATCTCCATCTTCTTAAAATAACCAGCAAAGGCACCACTACATGGCAGAAATCCCCATTTAAAAATAAAGCTAGACTGACTGAAAAAAAAGCAAACCCACTCATTTGAATGAAAAACACAAATTGGGAATGAGGCACCTCTCCCTTTCTTTCTGTCTTATAAATTGGGCTCCAAAGGATACGAAGGCCCCCACCACAAAAGTAGGGTTGAAGACATGGTTCTGGAAGGTGAACAGTGCAAGTCCCATGTAGGAGAAGATGAAGTTTTCTGCCAAGAAATTCAGAAGCTCAAACAACTGAAAGAGAAAAACAAATTAAAAGTGAGTTAGACGTAATATAGATTTAACAAGAAAAGCATGTTAGACCATCCGTCATGCAATAAATACTTCTGCAGAAGCAACCCTAGTGAAATGCAGCTGTAAGAAGATAGATGCACCTATTTCTGGCTAGAGGGAAGGGAAAAAACTTTGGATTTGAAATTCAGAGAGGCTGAAGGGGTCTGAGGAGTTCTCACCTGCTTAGTTCTGTGTTGGGACTCTGTAGATAAGTTGTTATAGGTATAATGGGCCTGTGTGATCCCACAGAAGAGCACAGCCACCACACCTGGGGAGCAGAGCATCACATTAGACTCCTGGTGAGGAAAAGGGAGCCGAGCTGCACCCCAGGCCTGCAGAGAACTTAATGCAGTAACCCCAGAACCCAGAATCATTACACTTCTGCAAGCAGAGGGAGAGCCCTGGCTACAATTGATACTGAGAGAAGCAAAACTCAGTGGCCCCATCATCCCTGCAGATCCCCATGGCAGAGGCAGGGCTGTGCTGGAGCTTGCCTGTAAAGCCACATGCTTCAGCCAGCAGGAACGTGCTCCAGGACATCAAGAAGAACAAGCCAGTCTCCAGCAAGGGGAACTCCCGAAGTTTGGTGAACTTGGTGACGTTGCAGATGGTTAAGGACAATTTGGAGAGACACTGCAAGCTAACAGCATATCAAATCCAATTGTGTATCACAGCTACACAGTCTGCCCCTAACAAGGCTATGGTGCTGTCCTTCATTCATTTAGGGAAAAAAAATTAAACATCTGGGTGAAATAAAGTGCAGCAAAAAATAAATACGCTGTTATGCAAACACTCAGAAAAAAAACCAAACAGTGCAAAGGATATTAAAGCTGTCACAACTCCAGTAGCTGCTCCCATTGCAAAAGATCCACTGAATATCCCCAGGAAGATCCCGATGGACTTGAACATTGCTGTGACATCAAACGTGTGGCTGTTGTCACCCGCTGGCTGATACGCAACTATTGAGCTGGAAGAGGAGAGAAAACACAAGAACAAAACTGCTCAGTCTGGAGGGAGAGGCACCTCACGGTGCTACACCAGCCTTGCAAAGTGCTACAACTGCTGCAAACAGCGAGCCTGAGGAACGGGGAGACACAACACACTGCAACCCCCTGGGATCACAGCGTGCAGTGACTGCACACCCTCCCTGTCCTGGGGAGTTTGGGATCAGCCCCCCTAAGCCTGGATGTGTTGTTACTCCTGGACATTAGAGAGCAGGGCACCAAAGCCTGTGCCTCATGTGATATATGGTACTTATGGTGGTATTTGGGGGTTTTGGCACCAGCTCTCTGTAATGTCAGGTGCTGTGGGAACACGAAGCATTCAGGCAGGAAACCTCCATTTCTCCAGCGAGGCGGCTGATGTGAACATCCCCTGGAGAGCTGTAACTGCTCCCGTTCTGCCACATTTAACATGCACCACATTTAGTCTGCACTGCTCTGAGCTCCAAAGTGCAATACCACAGGGCAGCCAAGGCAGACAGTGCCATGCACAGCAGCAACACCATTCTCTGCATCCACCAGACCTCAGCAGACCTTTGTGGTGAGATGGCAAACAGGTCTGCAGTGCTGATCCCATCTCCCAATCTGCTCCCTCCTAACTCCTGATGAGCTGAGCCTTGCATTAGTCATTGTTCTACCTGGAAAGGCTGAGATACAGAGGGGCCCTTATCCAGCTCCTAAATCCCATTCAACAACTCCTTACATCACTTTCCTTGATGTAAACTTCTTGGAAACATTAACTTCCTAGTTAGCAATCCCTTGACTCACTCTGTTAAAACTCCTGGATGTGAACTTTACACATTGGCTGTTTAAACTGCCTTGCACACACATCTTGAAGCTTTCTCCCCTAACTATACACCAACATTTTTCTGCAACAGAAATTGCACACCTTCCCTTTCCAATACAGGTTATTTCCTTTGCTAAACTTCCCTCCTTTTAATACAGCTCATTTTTCTGCATTGCCTTTTACACTGCAAGCTGTAGATTTCTCCATGCTTTAATTCCTTTCATCATATTCCATCTTATACTTCTCATTCACTAACATGATTTTATTCTCGGTTTCCAGTTTCTTTTTTTTTTAATCCAGACTGATTTCACTTCCCCTCCATAACCAACTCTTTGAATGTTGGTTTTGCATTTTAACCTCTTACAGCTCTCCTTCTGGTTTTGTTTTTTGCATTGCCAGTAAGACACTATTGCCAGCTGCCCTTTATTTCCCCTTTTCCTGCCCATGGGGCTTCCTGTGGTGTTTAATCTGTGCAAATCCTCCCTTTGGAAGAAACAGGTTGGGATCCTGCAGCTGCATTTATCCCTCTGCTCCCAAACTGCAGCTCTTGCACCTCACTGCCCACCAGCTTTCAGTTCTGGGTTCAATTCCTCTTCATCCTGCAACAGGCTCCTGCTGCCAAGGCACACCAGGCCAAGACAGGAAGAGAAAGGCACAGATCCTGCTCCTTAAGCACGGAATAGACATTTGCCCAGGGCTGAAAGCAGGCAGGAGAGGAGCCTTGGGGCACCCACACTGGGCAAAAGCCACTGAAGAGCCCAGCTCTGCATCCTCCCCTGCCTGCAGCGCTGGGGCAAAATAAAACAACTGCTGAGTGAGCTCAGAGCTGCTGCTTTGGTGCAAATTATCCTGTTTTGGGGAAGGGGTGGCCTGAGCTCAGCTTGTGGAGAGGAAAGCAAGAAATCAGAGCAACAGCTCCAGAGCTGGCACTGAAGCAGAGCAAGAGGCAAATCACTGCAGGCAGTGCCATCACCCACACGTGCCGAGATCCACCACGAATTCCATTACTCTGATGCTGAATCCACCCACTCCCACCCAGACCCTGCCAGCACAGGCTGGAAGACCCCATCCCCTCCTCAGTCATGAAATACAATCTGGCTGTGCAGCATTTCCTCTCGCACCAGCAGTGACACATCCAGCAAAAAAGCCAGAGTGAGCAATACAAAGAGTTCCAGAAACCTCAACAGAAGCACTCGATTCAGTAAATACAACACACAGCTCACAGTGTGTTACTTGCTGCCTCCAGTGAAACCCACACAACCAGCATGCTGGAGTGACAAGTATTCTAGAAATATTTTCTCCATTAGTCTTAGCTATATGTTAAGCTGTCACCATTGCAGGTATTACATATTACTGAACAAATTCCCATGATGACAACACAGTGAAAACGCAGATAATATATGTCCTGCATGCAAAGGACATAAAATATTAAAGAATATAAAACATTCTTTAGAAAGGCAGCAAGTTTTTCATGTGTTCAGTCAAGGGCATTAACTCCAGCTGTAAGAACATTAACTCCTCAAAGTGGGGAGAGAAAGGAAACAGCTGCTTCACCAGCTTTTCCACCTAAACAAAAGAGGGGTTTGAGGGTGGGAAGCAATGCAGGTAGGAGCAAAGCCATCAGCAAGGGGCTGCAGTGGGATCTTGCGGCTGAAAAGGAGACTTGGTGCTTTTCCTGTTTCAGAGGGATATAAAAACTTCCCTGTGAATGGGTCAACTGGCCACACAAGCAAAACAAAACCATCCATCATGCAGGGGGAAGTTTTAAGGGCAATCCGTAATCCCAAGCAGTGGTGAGCAATGAGGACATGCATCAGAATGTCACTACAGCTTTTTGGGACGCTTAAGATGCTCTTGCAAACACCCATGTTCCTGTTTTACAGGGGCAAGGCCGAGAGGCTCCCCCCAACTCCTGACATGTAAGACACGTAACAGCTCGAAATAAAAACAGGAGACACTTACGAAGACAGCACTATGGCAACGGCATCATTGAGGACGCTTTCGCCAAAGAGAAGGGCATACAGCTCAACATCGACCTGGAGTTCATGGAATATGGCAAGGACAGTCACTGACAAATAGAAAAATAAAGAGACATTCAAAAAGGTGCTGTTATTTCGATGTAATCAAAGACTAAATGTCCTTTTTAGAAAGCGGCCTTCCTGCACATCTGTGCCAGTGCTGCGATGGTGCCAGCGGCCCCCCGTGCTCTCTTTGATAGTCTTCCTTCTGCTCTTTCAGATTTTGATTTGATTCATCATTTCCCTCCTCCTCTTACTAAAACACATCTTGGCCTATTGAAGCTTTTGCAGGCAGACAAAAACAAACTCTGCTCTGAGCTTCCCAGGGTCTGAGCTCATGGGCTGGGCCACAGTACCAGGCTGGCATGAGGCACCAGCTGTAGGGATGCTGTTAGCTCAGAGCATCAGGGAGAGCCTTCCTGCACCTGCAGAAGGCCAGAAGGATCAGCTTGTCCAGGATGATGACTGCCTTTTCTTTCTATTCCTGATACTCTGAGAGAAAATCCTTGGATTCAACACATTCTAAGGGCCAGCACAGACATACAACATTTCAGATCTGACTGGAAATAGCCAGGCATCAGCTCAAACCCCATGTGGGGGTTTCTGTTATTTAGGACCATATGGCAGAGATCAGAGCTCCCTCAAGCTCTTCCATGATCCAGCAGCTCCAAGAAAATAATGGAAAGCAGCAGGTTTTGCATATCAGCCTTGCAGAGACATCACAACACCCAAAGCAAGCATGATGTAACACATGGTTCAGGCTGAGGGCTGAGCCAACTCCAAACAACTTCTGTGAGTCTTTTCAAACAGGAACAGGAACTCAGGACACACTGAGGGGGGTTAAACCCATTTATGCACAGGGAAATTCTCAATTTCTACCTGTGAAATCTTCTTGTTCCTATTTCAAGCCCAAAGAAGGGACACAATACCAACAGCTCAACTGCAGCATTTCTAAGCATTAGAAGATTTGCAGCCCTGCTCAGCAAAGGGCAGGAGCAAACAGAGGCCTCTTTGTGGCCCTGTGTTGTTATATGAAATGAGAGCATGCAAGTGAACAGCTACCACATACAAGCTATCATGAACTAATTTCAATTATTTTGACAAGGCATGTTTTTCACAGTTTTGATTTACAAAGTGCATCAGTAAACCAAGGTGTCACTACTCCTCAGTACTGCTCATTAAGGTGTCTCCTTAGTCTAATTTCAATTAGATTAGCCCCTGTCAAAATCCAACCAAACTGGAAGCAGGAGAAAATAGCTAAAATAAAACTATCAACGGAACCCTCCCCACATTACACATCTTGTTCTGCAACAGCTGCTGGCACAGGGTGGCAGAGACACAATGCCAAACACCAGCACAGTCAAGAGAGAGGTTGCCTGGGACTTCACTGCAAACAAGGATTCAGGAAAGCAGAGGTTTGGAAACTATATTGCACATAACTAAAGAAAATTAAAAGGCACAGGGACAAATCTGACTTCTAAGAACATCACAAATAAATTAAGTTCCAAAATTCAGGAGGGAACTCACAGGGGTTTCAGACTTTCTTTCCCTCTGCCCCACAACACAAACCAGGCTAAAATGTAGGGCAAGCATGCAACACACCTGGGTCAGTGGCTGACACGATGGCCCCAAACAGGAGGCAGTCAGTGAAGTAGAAATCTCCCCCAAGCTGCCCAGTGACTTTCATCAGTGCCACGCAGCCGTACACCACAGAGCTGGGGATCAGAAGAGGCAGTTACACATCTCTGCAATGCATTAAAACGACATCCATAGGGCCTGGTTTCCCTGCATTTACCAGATTAAAGCTATCCACATGCCAGAACACCAAAGAACTGCATGGGATGCACAGAGCCTGGTGAAACCCCAGGGCCATGATCTTGGAGGTGAATGTTGGACCACACACACCAAAGCACCCTCTGAACTGGAGCACAAACATGGTGCCAGGAGGGAAGTGGGACCAGAACTCCCCCAGGAGCACAACATGCCTAAAGAAAAGCAGCAGCCAGGCTTATGGGGTCATAAGATCACTTTGCAGTGCAGCACATTAACAGAGTCCAGTGAAGTCATCTTGGATGGACTAACTCTGAAATGCTCAAAACTTTCAGTGAGGAGCAGATAATGCAGATGCTGAGTTTGCTTGAATCCACTGGGCTCCAGGTTAGAACACTCTGTGTTAGCCTGTGTGCTACTATCCAGAGTGGGAACCATCCAGCAGCCTCTGCACTGAGGGATAAACAATTTGAAACACATCTGTGCTCACTAGACAGCCCCCTTTATGATCCTGCCCTCTACTCTTGTGCCTCAAGTTTAGGAGGGCATATGCTTCCAATAAGTTGAAGTTGCTGATTTATCAAGACAATTTTCTCTGAAGTGTGAAACTTTCCTTGCCATGAATAACTATTCTCATGGGATGTTCAGATGCTGAGAGAACACTTCATAGTTAGCAACTACCCTGCCCATGGAGCAGAAGTTTGCACAGTAAATAGTATTATTTGCTACTGCTGAGCAGCAGTAGGAGAGCATGTGTGACCTTTCAGGGCTGGGATTAGCAGCTTCATCTCCAGGCTTAGAACACTTCTCCCAAGCACAGCTCAAATCCCTGTGGAAGAACCAGACCAGCTCCATCTACTCACCCAATCACCAGGCATGAAATGGCAGTGCCGAGGAAAGCATATGCCAGGATGGATCCCAAGTTTCTGAAGAAGTGCCTCTAGCAGGAGAAAAGAAACCAAAAACTGAATTATATTTTGCTAACAATTTATTTCAAGCCTGCACAGGCACCCACAGCGTCCACAGCAACAACATGAGCTGGACAGGTACAGGGTGCCCAGCACAGCTCAATGCCAGACCAGGAGCTCATTCAGCATTAATAAACATGAATGTACCATGTTCTCATACCTGGGTGTTTAATAAGGTGCTATTCCAAGTCCTGGGAACTGATTTCCTAACCCAGCAGCATTCCTCCTTCCTTCTCCCGCAAGCTAAACTGCATCATTCTCCTCTCCTTCCAAGTCAGCATTTCAGAGAACTGCTGCTTTCTAAAACCTTCCCACACTCCCATGTGCCTGGAAAGCTGGGGTGGCTGAAATGGCCTGGCTGACCCCAAAAAATCCCTGCTGGAGACAGCTGAAGTCACTGACCCTTCCCGGGGCAGAGGGGCAGACAAGAATGACGGGGGCACTCTCAGCTCTGCTTCTCACAATCCCACATTTGCTGGGTAAAACCATAGCCACCCCCACAGCCTCGGCCTGCTGAGCAAGCATTAAAGCACTCACAAGTATTAAAAATTCTCTGGAGGCAGAGGAACTAAAAACATCAGCACTGTAAAGGCACGTACCCTTTTCAAGCTGTAGCCTGCATAAAATATAATGGGGGGAAGCAAAATGTTGAAGAATACTTCAGGATCAAAAGTCACCTGTTAAGAAAGGCAAAAAAAAAACCCAACAGTAAAATGATTTGTTGAAATTTTGCAAGACAAAACACAAGTAAGAAAGTAATATATGGAGACTGCCCTGTACCCCCATCATGGGAATCATGTTGGGTCAACGCTGAAAATGTGTCTGGGATCTTCTGGAGACAAATCCCAGAGTCTGAACAGCTCAAATTAAGATGAGCTAAAACTAGAGTTTCATTACATTGTGTTCAACATATAAATTACTGCTGATCACAATCACAAGTTAAAAAACCAAAATAAAAACACTTAATCTAGCAGATCCAGCAGACCCATCCCCATGGAGGGCGTGGGAAGCACCGTTCACCATTCCAGCCACTGCCTCCCTTACCTTCCTCAGCATCTCATTATCCTGGACATTGTTGAGCTCCTGGGCACTGATTTCCCCCTTCAGGGTGTACTCATAGAACTTGCCACTGACGTTCACCAGCAGCGTGGCCGGGCTGCTCTGCACCTGGCAGCTCAGGGTGACGTTGTTCACATCGCTGGGGACGTGGATGCCGTAGCGCAGGACCACGCCGACCAGGACACCTGGGGAGGGACACAGCTGTGTGAGACAAACCACAGCAGACCCAGAATGATCCCTCTGAGCATGGATGCAGCACCAGGATCCTGACCCCCTGCTCAGCTGCTGAGCACAACCACAACGCAATAAATGCCCGTGTGAATTGAACCATCCTCGTCCCCGTGAGCCAGGCGAATGCTCCGTGCTCATGGGGAGTTTCTAACACAGACATGGACAAGTCCTGAAGGATTTGAACCACCCAGCAATTGAACCACCCAGCAATTTGAACCACCCAGCAATTGAACCACCCAGCAATCAGTCAGGCCCTCACTCCAGGGCAGCCAACATCAAGGGCACGCTGGATTTTTTAAGGTGAGCAGCTCGAACTGCTGGGCCAGGTGCTGCTCACACATGCCCAAAATGTGCCCTTTGCCCCTTGAAACCTGACATTGATACATTAAACTCTGGCAGGGGTTAAAGATGATATCCAGCAACCACCCTGATCACTCCGAGGCTGGCAAGCATCTTTCCTAAAGTGATGAAGCACCATACAGCCTCCTCCCAGCCCTCCCTGTTTTTATAAAACCACATTTTGAAATATATAAATATATAAACATATAAAACTGTTTCCCAATCCAGGCTGACCACCCAGGTCTACTCCTTACCCCTGCTAAATTCAGCTCTGTACCACAAGCAGCAGCCCCAGGGCAGTCCCGTGAGGCAGCTCTGCCTCCAGCTCAGCTGCTAAGTAGGGGTATTTTGGAGTTAATTTACAAGTCAGCAATTTATAAGGCATTTTTCTTTTGTTGTCTGAAGTCTCAAATCCAGATTCAAGTTGTTGAGTGCTCTCCTGGCAGAGTGTTTTGACATCTGCAGGCTGGGGAAGAGGGGTGTCCCACAAGACACCTTTCCACGTAGCCTTCAGCAAAAAAGGGTTTGGAAACTCCTTGATTAAGGCGGCCCCGAGCTGCCACAGAAATCCTGGATCTTAACCCCATTTCTGAGCCACACATTTATGAAAAGCTTGCAGACACGTGAGAACTAAACACAGACCGCAATGCTCTGAAGGCTTCTCCATTTGCCTCCCAGGACACTCCTGTTCCTGACTGCTGCCTTAATTAAAGCCTTGCTCTGTGCTTTCCTACAGGCAGGGCACAACCCCTGGGTTGTGTTCTCTGACTGGGAACACCCAACTCTTCCCGTGCCCCCACCTCTCAGAGCAGAGCCTGGGCAGGACACCGTGGGGCCACACTCGTTCAGCATCTCCTGCAGCCAGTTCTTGATCATCCAGCCACTTTTTGACTTCTTTTCCCTTGGCCATAGTTTTTCCAGGATAAGATTTGCCATTTTTCCTGATGGTGAAAAGAAAAGCCCCCACCTCCTGTCTCAGGGCGTGCCACACTCAGCAGGGCCACCAGAGCACACACACCCAGGCCACGAGCACAGACAGAGGAGCTGGCTGCACACAAAATCACCACTGCTGACCTAGGACAGCCCAGCTCAGGGACTGGACAGACCCAAAACCCTTGTCTAATACAGCACTTTGCAGCACAGGTGAGCTAAAAGGCTACAGATGCTTTTAAGCCATGCACCATCAACGAGCTGCTCACCACTCTGGGCTTATCCTGCCCTGAATCACCCCAAGAGTCACAGAACAGCTCCCTCCGGGCACAGCCAGGCACCACCAGCTCCAGCAAGGAGAGTTCAGGGCACATCACACCGTGCACAGCAGCTGAGGGCTGCTTTTACACCACCACCATTTACAGGGGACACCATAAGTAATTCTTTAGCTTTCTTTTCTGCCAGTCTCGGCTTCTGTGATCTTCCAGTGCTCCAGAAATAAAAGTATAGAATGAAAGCAAGTATGTCAAGCACATCATGATGCCACAATGTGTGTTTGCAGGAGTATGTGGCAGTGGCTGCAAGGCATCACAGCAGTGGGACAAAACACCCCATTTTCCTTTCACCCAGAGGATGACAATCCTACAGGTACCAGGGAAAACAACCAAAACCCTTCACGGGGACAAAAGGAGTTTCAAAGGGTTATTTACAACTGTTTATGGCTATTAAGGTACACCATGCTTTGCAGCCCTCAAGAACCACCTGGGGTGATTGTTAAAAAGCTTCTTCTTAAAGAAAAAAAATTATTTCAGAGGTTCATGCAGCTGCCTGCCCTTGCTCAGATGGAAGGAAACCCACCCAGCAACCCCTTTAATACCCAGGCTAAGCACTGTGAGATGAGACCCCACAGGAGGAAGGAAGGACAGACAGAAGGAGTCACTGCTGTGAATTCAGAAGGGATCCTGAGTCAGGATCACCTCTCCACCCTTAATCCCTGTCCCAAAGCAGTGCTACATCTGATAGCACCCTGCTCCTCTGCCACCTCCTTATCCAGGCAGCTGTTCCTGGCCCCGTGTGCCAGCCAAGCTCCAGACAGGGCCAAATTCCCACTCTGGCCAAGAATGGGGTAAGGGAAAAGGGACAGATAAGCCTACATTTGCCAAAAACCCCTGTTTGGGAGCCCCCAGATCATACTTTTTGTTTTGCTCAGTAATAGGCTGCCTGGAAGGCTGCCAGGTGGGGAAAGACACCCATGTGCAAATACACAAATGCAGAAATTGCTCCTGGGCACTGAGTGTGACCCTGCAGCAGCCCTGACACAGAGACAGTGTCAGAGTTACCTGCAGGGAAAGCATCCTGCTGCTCTGCTGGACACCAAAATTATTCCACCAACACTAAATGGCCCCACCAGCAGCCCCTCCTGCCCCATGGTGGGTCTGTTCAACCCTCCCTATCCAACAATGCTCATGGGAGGCACGTGGGACAAGCCTGACATGGTTTTCCAGGCTCCAACCCAGTCCTGAGCTCAGGCTACCTGGCCAAGCCCAGGGGACCCTGCAGGTGCTCCTGGTTCCAACAGGCTCTTAGGAAATGGTTCAGACTCTGCTGGCACTCACAGGGCTGCCCCAGTATCGACACGATTTTGCTGCCAGGAGTTTTACAGAACGGAGCCCTGGGAGGGAGCTGAGCTGAGCAGAGGGAACCCAGGGCTGAGGAAGCTGCCAGCTGAAAGCTGCAAGGAGTTGAGAAGCTGAAGGCAAAGCCGGCAAATTAACTGGGTTCTTTTATGCAAAGTGCACGAGATTATTTTCATTGCCATTTCTCCTGACTTCATTAAAAATAACAAAAGCCCATGGGCTTTTTTTTTTTTTAAGGTGCTGTTGAACATTTCCGAGGTAATGTTTTAAATGAAGACTAATATATTACCAAACCCAGCACTTAACAACAATGAAAGCAGACGGGATCCCCAGGCAAGCATTAATCTGGACACCAAAAGGAAAGAAAAATGTAACAACTGAAGACATCCTGACAACAAGCAGTTTAGACACACACAATCCACAGGTCAAGTGGGAACAAGTAGAAGGAAACTAAACTTCTAGCGAAGCTCCTGCACATCCACCATCAGACTCTGAGAAGAACTGAAACAAAATTGTTCAATTAATCACCCTAAATGCTGAGCCCCTCAAATGTGGGAACTTCATTTTAAACACTGAAATGAATCTTAAGAGCTACTAAGCACCTATTGTCTATCACTGAAATTACTCCAGACAGTTTCCAGCTCTTGAACATCAGCTCTGAGCTGACAGTGTGATGTGCACGACAGAAATCCACCTGGAGCAAGAGCTTATAACTTCCAGTAAAAATAAAGACAACAAAGAAACTGATGTGCTTTGCCAAAAGAGATATAAGCCCAAGTTTTGACTTCGTTGTTGGGTTTTTACAAACAGAAAAAGACAAGCTTTTGCAAATTGCTTCTCTTGTTCAGATTTCAGGGTCTGTTTTGCAGCCCCTTCCACATTTTCAGTGAAATTCCTTGGGGCTAAAACCATCGCAGGGAGATAGGGACAGGGACACCTCCTCTCTTCCCTGCAGATTTCAAGTTGTCACAGTAAAACAACAGCATCTCACCTTGGAATGAATTCCTTGGGAATTACACATCCCTTTTCCTATGGCACCTGCCAGTACCTGAGAAGTAAATGCCAAAAGCCTTGACACTGAGGAAAACTTGGGATTTTCTGCATGATCAGAGAGATGACATTACTGATTTCAGCAATTCCCTAAGCACAGTCTGCAGAAGAACAGACAGAAAAGGTGCATTTTATGGATCAGCAGGAGACTGAAACAACCCAGGCTGTGCTCTGAGAATAAAGTGAGCACTTAGATACATCAGGGAGAGAGGACAATCAAGAGGAAGAAATGTCCAGGAGAAGAAGAACAAGGTGTGAGAGCATGAAAGGAATAGAAAGTTGCATGTCAGGAGTTCTGGGGCACTCCACACAGCAGGAGAGAGAAGACCTTCCATGCTGGAAGCATGTCCTCCCACAGCACAGCTCCTGTCCCAGGAGGTCACCATCCCCACCCTGGGCAGGAGGCCAGAAACATCTGAACCCCCCGAGCAGTGGCTGGATGGAATGTGAAAATGCAGAGCATTATTTCGTGCCCCTGAGCAAGCAGAGCAGTATTTCGTGCCTGTGTGCTGACACAAGTGCCTCCACCCCTTCATTTGGAAGGAGACTTCCAATTAATTGAAACTTGGGATCACAAAAGCCAGTGGCCCAAACAGGTCAAGTCACAGCCTTCAGATCAAAGCTTTCTGCTGGGTGGGAGATTCAGCCACATCTGCCTGTGTGGCCACACTTCACCCCCAGCCAACAAGGGCCACACAGAGGACACACTAACTACAGCACGCAACAGGAGATGCCTTCTCAATCCTAAATTCCTAAAATCATCCCTAGATACAGATCCATGGCCATGTTAATCATTCCCCAGCACACCTCCCAGTCCTACTTTGGCTGAACTCAAAGTCATGCCAGATAACCCAGGGAGAGCCATACATGGCCCCATCATACCCTGGGGTTCAGGCCACCTCACGAGGCCATGTCACCTCAGTAAATCACAGGCCACCATTAAAACCCAAATGTCTACAGCCCCACTGCACTGACCCACAGCCTTGCTTCACTTCCTCTGGGAATACACAAGGGGTTCCTCTCCAAGAGGTCCTGTCACAGTGGGAGGAAAAGGTAGAGGGTTGTGCACTCAGGTCCCCAGGCAGCAGGATAGAAGGCTGCTGGCTCTGCAGGCCCTGAGCATGCCAAAGCTTGGGAGAATCCCCTAAATGGCCTCTCCAGTCTTCTTGGGTAGCTTCTGGAAATCTGGATGCTCTAAACACATCTTGGAATCACAGCCTCTAGCCCCAGGATGTGGGATCACAGAATCACTGAATGATTTGGGTCAGGGGACCGTGATGATCATCCAGCTCCAACCCCCCTGCCATGGGCAGGGAACCTTCCACTAGACCAGGTTGCTCAGAACCCCATCCAGCCCGGGATGTGAGGCTCCTGACCAGTGCAACCACTGGTCTGTGCTGCCCCAAGTCCCCACTCTCAACCCGGAGCAAGTGGGACCTGCCAGTGCTTGGTGACGTGGTAGCCCATGACCCTGCCAGCTTCACCCCGTGAGGCCGTCTGGAAAAACCCAACCGGTTCCCCACTGCCAGCCATTTGAGAGCACCTCTGCCTTGGAGAGCTCTCCATATCTAAGGTTTGGAAAACAACCAACCCTCCGTTCAGCAGCACCCAGATAAGGCTGAGCGCAGCAGCACGGGGCTGTCCCGGTGACACAGCACCCACGGGGGGATGTGTCGTGTCCCCCCGCAGCGCCTCGGCAGGCACCGAGCGGGAGAACCATGCTTTTGGTGCTGCCGCGGCAGTGGGCGGTGGGGCAGGCAGCCAGAGCCGGGGCTGGCCGGGACCTGGCTCCCGGCGCCCGGGGCAGGCACCGCTCACCGTAGATCATGGCCAGCCCGGTCTCGTGGAGGAAGCGAGCGCGGCGGTGCTTGAAGAGCCAGATGGTGAGGATGGTGAGGGTGAGCAGCAGGATGAAGACGAGCAGGTTGGCGCTGTCCTGGCGGTGACTCTCCTCCGCCGCCTTCTCGGACACGATCTCCTCCTCCAGCGCCCCGGGACGCGCCGCCGCCACCTCGGCGGCCGCCGCGCCCCGCGCCCACAGCCCCGCGGCCGCCGCCAGCACCGGCCCCGGCCCCGCCATCGCCCCGGCACCGGCCCGGCCCCGCCGCCACCAGGAAGCGGCTCTGGGCGCAGGCGCCGGGGGCGGGAACAGCGCCGGGAGCCCGGATAGGGACGGGCCGGGGCGAGCGGGGGGAAAGGGGCCGGGGCTGCCCTGAACGAGTCCCGGGAACGGGATGCGCGGCACGGAGAAGGGGATCGGGGCTCACAGGGGGTTGTAGAGGGAGGGAGATCCCCAGGCAGACTTGGAGCGGGGTACTTCAGCGCGGCCGCGCGCAGCAGCGGGGCTTGTTTGTGCGCAGCGTGCTTTGGAGGGATGTCCTGCAGGACACTCCCCGGCCCAGGGGGAGACGGGGTCCAGGAGGATCCTGGTCGTGCCTTCACACCGTGCCAAGGCATGTGTTTGGTGCCAAGAGCCGCCGGCAGCCCCCAAGTGGGATCGGGGTAAACTTCCCACCTTTTTTACCAAGACACGGAGGGGGGATGCGCGGTGCCGGTGAGTCAAGGGTTGTAATAAATGCCAATGATCAACTTAAAGGTGACTTGTAGGAAAGGTCCTCAAAGAATTGCCTTTGTGCCTTGGGGCCACGGAAGACCCAGGATGCTTGACTGTGTGGTGTTTCCTTGCTTTGCCCCAAGCCTGGCTCGGCCAGGGGCGTCCCTCCTACACGTTGTGTGCGTGCCTTTGCCCCGTTTTTTCTTGCACCGGTTTCTCAAGCTTTGAGGTTAAACGCGTGTAAAATGCGAATTAACTCGGGCACCACTGGCTCTACGCTCTGATTTCGGCCTTAAGGGATCCGGCCTGGCCCGGTGGAGCGAAGGGGCCTGTTCGGGGGGTCCACGGGCCCCTTGTCCCTCAGCCGCCCCCCCGGAACCATCCCGGGTTCACACACCGCTCGGAATTTATCAATGGCCCCGCGTGGGAAAGCGGCGGCCTGGCCCCGCCCCCTCCGCGCGCCGGGGCGCGGCCTGGCCCCGCCCCCTCGGTGACGCCATCACGGCGCGCCGGGGCGCCCTGGCGGCGGCGGGCGGCGATGGCGGCGGGGTCGGTGTGGAAGGGGCTGGTGGGGCTCGGCCTGTTCGCCCTGGCACACGCGGCCTTCTCGGCGGCGCAGCGTGAGTCACGGCCGGGGGGGCGCCCCGGGGCACCGGCGCCTCCGCACGGCCGACGGGGAGCGCGCGGGGCGGGGGCCGGGCCGGGCCGGCAGCATCATCATCGTCCCGAGCCGCGAGCCCGGCGGCGGGGGCGGCCCTGCCCGTGGGGCCGGGAGGAGCGCGGGGGAACGGAGGGGAAAACGAAGGGTGGGAAGGGGGAGCTGCCGCCCGCCGGGTCGCGGCTCCGGCCTGGCCTCTCCCGGCCGCCTGCGGCAGGCCCAGCCGTGCCCCGGAGCAGCGGCACCGGGGCGGCCCCGCTGCCCGGGGAGGCTCGGGCTGACGCGTGTTTTGCAGCCGTTTTTCTGGGGGTTCGCCTTGCCGGGCTGTTTATTTGCGTGCACGGAGTTTTTGATGCGTGCGTGTGTTTCTGTTTTGTAGATCGTTCTTACATGAGGTTGACAGAAAAGGAAGATGAAACGTTGCCCATAGATGTAAGTTTTTGTGTGTGCAAGATGTAACTGGGGTGGTTTAGTCTCTCAGTTGTTTCCTTTTAATGTGCTAGGCAAGCATAAAGTATAAAGTAGTTTTTAATCACTGGAGCTGGCACTGTCAAAAAGAACCACATTTTTCATTTTCATCCCAACTTCCTGAGCGTGTTGTAGTTGTTAGTGAAACCCCAAACCCCAGATCCAGGCCTCCCTCTCTTTTAGAACTACCCTGGAGCATCCTGTCCAGGATTCCCTGAACGTAGCTCAGAGAGCTTTTGCATCCATCACCTCCTGTGCAGCATAAACACCCTGCACCCTCTGGCGCTGGGTGGCTGACGTGTTTATCCAGTGTGGCTGTTTGATCCCAGCACAGCCTGCTTCAGGAAGGGAGCTTTTATTTGCTTTATTTGCTTGCTTTTCAAATTTCCACTTCAGTTATCTGTTCCCTCTCTCCTTAATCAGAAGGGCAGGGAGATCAGGTGCCCGGGAGAGCCAGGCACAGTGCCTAGCCCAGGGCTCCACAGTGTTCCTGGCAGGAATTTGGTCCTGGAGAGCAGAGAACAGAGTGTTTGGTCTCAGGCTCTTGCTGAGGAGCTCTGTGAGTCAATTCAGTTGGTGTAACCCAGACCTGTGCTGGAGCAGCTGGAGCTCTGCTGTGCAAATAGGAGAGAATTTTAATTCTCCCATGCCTCAGTTTCCCCACTGCTGGAATGCCCCCTCTGTTTGCTGTCACTGGATGAAAAGCACCAGAGATACTGTGTGAAAGCTGAGATGTTTTGGTAAATGTGCAGAACACCGGGTAATGTGTGTGTTGCACTGTGCTCCCTCTGTTGCAGATAGTCCTGCAGACTCTGCTGGCCTTTGCAGTCACCTGCTATGGGATAGCACATATTGCAGGAGAGTTTAAAGACATGGATGCCACTTCAGAACTCAAAAATAAGTATGTTTGATTTCTTCTTTTTGTACACACGGGTATCTGCTTCTCTGTACAAACTGAAATCGCTCATCTTTAGCTCAGTCCTTCAATGCGTGCTGTAGGCAGCCACCCAAGGGGAGCAGCCACGCTTGCAAAAGCCAACAGTCTTGAGTTTAAGGGAGAATTAGATAACAGGCAGAAATCAAACTTCTTGTTTTTCCTCGTCTGAAATCCTGCTGTGCAGACTTGGTATGGGAATGAAGTGTGCAGGTGGGAAGTAGAGCTCAGGAGCCACCACCTGCTGTCATGACATGGTCTCAGACTGCACGTCTGAGTCACTTGAGTCTCACTCAGTATATTCAAGGCAGGACATCTGTAAGACTTTTAAGAAAATAAAGGATTTTGGGCCAAAATTTTGAGGAGGATAGTTGTTTACAGCATTCCAAGGTCATAGGTTCAACTGCTTTATGAGCTGTTCAGTTTGGAGTTGGACTCAATGATCCTTGTGGGTCCCTTCCTACTCAGAATATTCTGTGATTCTGACAGGAAATTGGATGGGCAGATGTTGTCTCTCTGGCCATTTCCAAAACCACAGGGGAGTATGGGAATTGAAAAAGTTGACATAATTGTATTTCAGCCTTTAGTGTGAGGCTCCCAGGGGGATGGAAAGCTGAGCAGTATCAGGGTGTTAACACAAGTGAGAGCTGAACAAAGGCTGGCATGTGATGTCTGCAGCAGCAGCCACAGGCTGCTCCTGAGCCCCGGAAAGGAAGGGGAAGTTGGTGACGTGGACATCTTGTGGTCTTTTTCACAACTGTGTATTTCCTCATTGTTCAGTTTAGGAAACTTAAAAGCAAGCAAGAGTTTGGATTGAAAACTTGTATTTTTGTGTCTAAAGTCAATGCGCCCCAGACTGACTGTTCTAAACTCCCTGCTCTGAAAGAGTATTAACCTTGGCTTTTTGCATTTATTTTGAAGGACATTTGACACATTAAGGAACCACCCATCTTTTTATGTATTTAATCATCGTGGTAGAGTATTGTTCCAGTCCCCAGACACAGTGAATTCTTCTTCAAACCAAGATGCTTTGTCATCCAGCTCGGCACTGAAATTTCGAAAACTTGAACCTCTGCGCCGCTAAGACTTTTACAGATGATACCAATAACCCAGGACACTGAGATGTAATATTGAAGTCGGGGATGTAAACACTTTTTTTAATTTCTGGAGCAGTATTTATATTGATCTTCCAGACTTTATAAAATATATATATATATAAATATATATATATAAACTAATGACCTTCTTTGTACACTGTTAATGAGAATGACTGAATTGTGGATTGGCAATGCAGTGTAAATTCTACAGTTATGCTGTGAAACACATCTTCAAAGTTTCAGATATTAAAACGAGTTGCGGCTAACTTAACTTCAGTTAAAACAAAAAGCAAGCTAGTTTTTCCTGCAACTGATGTTCTTTGACAGGAGGGACTGTTTGAGTGTATTTATTTTCTCAGTTTGCTTGCACTACAGTCTATGGATCCCCTCAGAAATGCTGTGTGCACTGCATCACTGAACAGCAGGAAAAGGGGCAGCACCTGATCCTAGAATGCCTGTGGGACACCAGCACGGTGTGGCAGGGGGAGTCAAAGTGATTGCTTTCATTGTTATTTTTTTATAATGCTGAAAAACAGTTGTGTGAAGGGTTATTCTTTTTTTCCTGGTTTCTCACTACCATGTTACTTCCTCGTTGCCCTCCTTTGTTCCACGTAGTTGCCCCGGGTTCCTGGGCTGTGGCTGTGCGTTGGTGCTGCTGTGGGGAGGCAGCTCAGCTCAGCTGCCACACTCTGGCTGTGAACCGGGGAGTGCTGAACGCTGTGTACGTGCTGAACACGGTGTTGGCACCAGCTACAACCTCCAAGTCATCTTCATATTTAAGTATCAGTAAAAAGTGTCCCTTCTGTGAGTGATCTGGGGGTAGGGTCTAGCAGCTTGCTCTGTTTGCTGGCACTAATCCAGGACAGCAACCCCTTTTTTGCCAACAGATTCTTCCACCTTCATTTTTCCAGCTGAGCCCCTTGTTGATTTAATATTACTGTCTTGATTTCATGTATTAGAACTGATCATACTGTCCTTAACTCTTACTTATGTCTAAATTCTTATCTCCCCTCAGGGGCTGAATCAATACTAAAATCTCTCTTGGTCTGGCTTTTCACCTCCCTGACACAGCAGAGGGAGGGTAGGTTGAGATACTGGTGGGCCCAGTGAGAATTTGCCCTGGTTGGAGGATGTTTCACTGGCACAGTGGAAACTCAGCCTTTTGTCCTGGCATCTGTTGAATTGTGTTTGGTATTTTTTTAAACTGTTAAGAACTGTCAAAGGCAAAAAGCTCGGCAAAAATACTGTGTAAACCGAAGTCTCTTTTTCTAGCTCTGCCCGTCCTATGGAGTGGGTGCCCCAGTGCTCGAGCAATATCCATGGCTGCTGCTCTACAATCACTCTTAAGCATCTGGGTTTGATTAGAAGGGGTTACTCTGCCAG